CCCTAATTTAAGCAATTCTCTTGCCTCAGCCTTCCAAGTAGCGGGGACTACAAGCACATGCCACCACGCCCAGGGGACATCATAGGGAGACAGTCTCACTCTGTCCCCAGGCTAGAGTGCAGGGGCCCTATCTAGGCTCACTGCAACCTCCGCCTCCCTGGCTCAAGCAATTCTTGTGCCTCAGCCTCCTGAATAGCTGAGATTACAGACACATGCCACCACACCCAGCTAATTTTTGTATTTTCAGTAGAGACAGGGTTTCACCATGTTGGCCAGCCTGGTCTTGAGCTCCTGACCTCAGGTGATCCACCTGCCTCAGCCTCCCAGAGCGCTGAGATTATAGGTGTGAGCCACCGCACCTGGCCTAGAGTCTTTTAGAGAAGTGTGGAAAGGGTCTCCTGCAGTTGCCATTTGAAATCAAGGTCTTAGATTTCTTTTTTTGTGCATACAGGTGGCAGTTTCAACACAAACCAGTTCCTGTCATGTCTGAAGGGGAGGAAAACAACCCACAATTCAGATCATTTTTGATTTTTTGTTTTTTTGAGGCAGAGTCTCTCTGTCACCAGGCTGGAATGCAGTGTCGCAATTTTGGCTCACTGCAACCTCCGCCTCCCAGGTTCAAGCGATTCTCCTGCCTCAGCCTCCCAAGTAGCTGGAACTACAGGCGTGTGCCACCATGCCCAGCTAATCAAATCCCATTTGTTTTAAAGAGTGAAAGAGATGAATTAGAGATAGAATTCAGGGTAGATTGAAAAGGAACTGAATCAAGCTAGAAAAAATACATATAGGGAAAGGCTAAGGACTAAATTGGAGGCAAGAGGAATTCATGGGCAAAAGAGGCCTATGCTATTGCATTTTGTAAATGACTGTCACAAAGTATTTTCTTTCCTTGATCTCATTTAAAGGTGGTACTTTGGAAAACTTGGCCGAAAAGATGCTGAGCGACAGCTATTGTCCTTTGGAAACCCAAGAGGTACCTTTCTTATCCGTGAGAGTGAAACCACCAAAGGTAAGATAACGAGTAGAAGAAGTTGGCTTGTCATTCAAATCTGTGGATTAGTCAGAGGGGATGAAAGGCTTATCTCTAATGTACAAGGATTTTTAAATGGCACATGTGCTCCCTGCCTTGTGAGTAGAGTCCTGTTTGCAGTTTTCCCTCCAGGCTCTAGAACTGCAGACAGCACCAAAAGCACTACAGAGGCTCCAAATCAAGACCTTCCCCCTGAAACGGACTGGGGCAGCTTCAATGCTCTGGGCACACGAGATCATAGAATTTTCAGAAGTCCTTTAGAATTTTGATTTTCTGAAACTCTTAGTTCCTCGGGTGCCAGTCATATGGGTTGTTTTGCTTTCCTTTTGTTTTTTAAATAACTGAGGACTTCACTTTTCTTCCTTCAACTGTTGTACGTTTTATTATTTAACAACTCATTACAGCCCACAAGAGGAGATAGGTCAAGGAAGAAAAGATTAGTGCCCTCTGGCTTAATCGGCCAGATTATCTGTTCCTGTAAAAAGTGTTGTAAAGCAGAAGCTTGAAGCTCACTTCTAGAGAAAAAAGCCTTAGATTTATTTTGCACATGCTGTCCCCACCTCCCAGTATGCCCCTGAGTAGAGAAGACAAGGAAAGCAAGCTCAGCGGTCCTTCTCTCTATCCTGGGGGGAAGGAGTGTCAGAATTGAATCTACCCGGTATCAGGGAACAAGGGGTACTGAATCGTGTGTTTAAGAAAAATATCCAGGAAGCTTTCAGTCTCCAGGGCAGAATCAGTTTACTGCTAATATCTTCGGACCTTTGCAGGACATCAAGAAGCATCCTCTTTTTGTTACTGAGTGGAGATGCTGTATGTATGTTTGTGTGCCCTTGATAATTATTAGTCAGTCGAGAAAATGAAGCCTAAAAAACTAGCCAGTACCCCAGATGACTGGAGCTGCTAATGCTTTGCATGTTTACCAGGTGCCTATTCACTTTCCATCCGTGATTGGGATGATATGAAAGGAGACCACGTCAAACATTATAAAATTCGCAAACTTGACAATGGTGGATACTACATTACCACCCGGGCCCAGTTTGAAACACTTCAGCAGCTTGTGCAACATTACTCAGGTAACCTTAATTCTAACTACCTGCTAACCATTTGGATGCTGGTGGGAGTAGATAGGCCCAGAGCAGGAAAGTGGAAAGTGGTAAAACTAATATATACAAAATCACGCATAGAATATGTTTTCTTTGCCAGCCCCTCCGGCGGGGGGTGGGGCTTGGCTGAATAGGTTCTGTTGATGTTGTTCTGTAGTTATTATTAGTTCCACATGTTTGTCCAAAGAGTCTATAAAATTTTTGTTTCCCAAGTAGAAAGAAATAGGTTACATTTTAAAAGTTGTTTGTTTTTTCACCTTCATCCTAAAATACTTGCAAGTTGTCTTTTCCCATTCCCCCACATTGCATAAGAGGAAGCAGTCTCTGGGAGGCACTTACACGGGGACTCTGCAAGGGGTCTTGTGTTTCCACCATCACTTTACACTCAGCACTGTTACAGGAATGGCTGCACATACATTTCATTCTCATGCGATCCATTTATCATGTTTCCTAACTAGACTTAGGCTTACGTGACCCACAGCTCTTAGATCTATTACATCTATTGTGTTAAACTTTTAAAACGTACATCAGTCTCTGTCCTAACACCCAGATATCACCATTATTTTGTTGTTCCTGAAAACATATAATTATTAGGTGTGCAGGTTACACATTTTATCAAAGAATGCGGTTTCATGCGCAATTGTTAAAATGATTTCCTAGATTAGCAAGTATTATATCCCACTATATCTTACATGTTCACGTGTCTATAAATATAGGTGCATGTGAATATGTAAGATATAGTGGGATATAATATATAGACATGCACAGATACATGTCTATATCCTATTAAGCCTAGAAGTTCTTTGTGTGACCCATTTCTCCATTTTCTATTGTTCTCCAGTACAATAGCAAGGCTCAAAAATAGTGTATGATTTACCTCTAGTATTGCTCTATGCACAATCATTGAAATATGTATGTATAATTTTTAGCATGAAAAAGCAATCTTTTGAAAATGACATTGAAATATGTATGTATAATTTCTAGCAAGAAAAAGCAATCTTTTGAAAATGACTATTGATCCCTGGCACTAATGAACAATAGAAAATATTAACAGCACTTGCAGTGCTAGTGCATTGTGGCATTGGTTCACTTGGTTTATGTGGAATCTAATGAAACATTTGGGAGAAATGGAACAAAATATCTCCCTGAGCTTAAGTAATATACTCAAAATGCCTGCATGTTGTAAGGATTTTTCAAATGCTGAAATATATTTCATTACAGCCAAGCATCAGCAGGATCCCCAGGGTTTGGATCATTTGAAAATATTGTGTTGGAAAGGGCACTTTAATAACATCGTAAAGCTGGAAGGAAAGAGGGGATATGAACAATAGACACTTTTTTTAATCTCGGGGAAAAAAAATCCATCTCACATTAGACTTGTTTTTATATTGGCCTTCCCTCTTCCCTCTTTCTCTCTCACACAATAAAAGGCCTTTGAAATATTGACACATAAATAATTTCCCACCTAAACATCCCAGAGCCTGATTCCATCAAAAAGAAAGGAGTAAAAAGCAAGTTACAGCACAGCAGCACACCTGCTTTCCCTGGGTCTGGGGGCTTCCCGGAGGGGTGGGGGTGGGGGCGCCTGTCCACCTCACAAGGCAGGCTCTGTCGGCTTTTGTCACTCCCTGATTTCTTATTCTTTGTTACCTTTTTTTGCCTGACTGATTATTACTTGGCATTTAAGTTCCCCTTAGCCCTGCCAGATTCTAAAAGATTATATTCTTTTTAAAAAAAGAAGAGAAAGAAGGAAAGAAGACAAAGAGAAAAAAAAAACCTCCGAGTGATAACTACATTTTCCCTTCTTCTTTTTTTATAAAGAACATGTTCTTTCGCATCCTTGAATTTCTGTGAATTTTGGTTTCCATTCTTTCTCCTTTCAAACCAGACACCTAAATTATACATTGAAGACTGTTAAAAGGATTTTTTTTTTCCCATAGAAAATATCAAAGAAGCAGCCCAGGAGTATCTGACTTGGTGGAATGAAATCAGTTAGAAAGCCAAAGAAATCACTAAAAAAGTGACTTCTTTTTTTTCCCCACCAGTTATAATCTTCAGCCTTACTAGTTTATAACAGTTTAATGTTCTATAGAAGAATCCTCTACTAAAGTTTGAATTTTAAATATAGTCATACAGAGAGATCCCCAATCCCCTGGGTAGTCTAGATATTAAAGGTGGGGAAGAACAGCCATGTTGACATTCTTTAATCCAAATGCAGTTTTTGAAATTAGTAAGGATATTTTCAGCATTCCCAAAAACATGTTATTAGCACATTGAGCTGAGAACGTTTTTCTTACTCAATGAGTACAGAAACCAAAGCAGTCTGTGTGTATATCTAAGTATAGACTATAGTACCTGGGCTTATGGAGGAATCTAAATTTAAAACGTCCTCTATTCTACCTCCAGTGAACATGTTTCCATGTGTGGCGTCTGATCTTCCACGATGTGTGTGGTCGTCTTCTGGTGTAGCACTGTTTGAGGAGCGCTGTGCGCTGCTAGTGTGGGTTTGCACTTATGAGTGTTGTCGTTACATGTGTTCTGCTCTTCTCTCCCTCTCCTGCCCCTGCCCTGCTCCATCAGAGAGAGCTGCAGGTCTCTGCTGCCGCCTAGTAGTTCCCTGTCACAAAGGGATGCCAAGGCTTACCGATCTGTCTGTCAAAACCAAAGATGTCTGGGAAATCCCTCGAGAATCCCTGCAGTTGATCAAGAGACTGGGAAATGGGCAGTTTGGGGAAGTATGGATGGGTATGCTGAGACTCAATTACTCTATTATTGACTTTCTCGTTTGGGAAACCCCAAACACCAAAGATGGAAGGTGAAAATAAAGACTGCATGACCGAGAAGAAAGATGGAATTCGTAATAGTGGGGAAGAATGATTTCAATTTTGGTTTTAATATTCTGGAATTTCTGGAAAAAAAGATAGTAAATGGGCAAAATTGGCAAATGGCTCAAGTTGTACTGTTACATGAGCCTCAATTCATAAACCAGCAAATGGTACAAGGAATGTTCCAGCTCCCATAGAAGATCTTACCCTTCATTTCCAAAAGCAAATGTTTGTTGAGTGTCGCCCTAACGGGCAAGTCACCTTCCATCTTTCCTAGTGCATGCATAATTATGGATTATAAGGACAGTGTTTTCTTTATTAATTCCCTTTCCTGTAGAGAAAGCTGATGGTTTGTGTTTTAACTTAACTGTGATTGCATCGAGTTGTACCCCACAAACTTCTGGATTGGCTAAAGATGCTTGGGAAGTTGCACGTCGTTCGTTGTTTCTGGAGAAGAAGCTGGGTCAGGGGTGTTTCGCTGAAGTGTGGCTTGGTAAGGCAGAGGGCACATTTTGTTTTGGCTGCATCTCAAAGCCGATTAAAAGGATGGTTTTGAACAAAAATGCACACACAGCCGTTGGGACAAAGACACTTAACCTGGATAACTAGACAGGCACAGGCCATCCAGATTTTCAGAATATGCTACCTTGCTGTGCTCATCTGTCCTACTTCATGTGGTTAATTAAGGCACCCGCAGAACAGGAAACCAGAACACTGTGAATCTGGTGTTTCCTCTTCCTAAGAAACAGTAAGGTAAGATACTGTATATGGGCAGCCATAAGAAAGTGGGCATTTTGCTCGATGGGCTTGGGTTTGAATCCTTACTAGCTAAGCAACCATGAACAATGGGCATATTTTACTCCGTTAAGCCTCAGTTTTTTCATCTGTAAAACTGGAATGATACTTTTTGTTTTTTTGAGATGGACCCTCGCTCTGTTGCCAGGCTGGAGTGCAGTGGTGCGATCTTGGCTCACTGCAACTTCCGCCTCCCGGGTTCAAGCAATTCTCTTGCCTCAGCCTCCCAAGTAACTGGGACTACAGGCATGCGCCACCACACCCAGCTAATTTTTGTATTTTTAGTAGAGACACGGTTTCATCATGTTGGCCAGGATGATCTCTATCTCCTGACCTCGTGATCCGCTCACCTCGGCCTCCCAAAGTGCTGAGATTACAGGCGTGAGCCACCACACCCAGCCAGAATGATACTTATTTTATAGGATTATTTTTAGGATTACATGGGTTAACATGTTTAAAGTCCCTTGCAGATAGTAGATATTCAGTAGACACACATACTTCCCTTTATTTGATTGGCATTGATAAGGCTGGCTGCACTAGGCCTTTGTAATTTCTTTTATAGCCCTTTTGGGTCAGTTTTAGCTTTGCCACTTGAGACAATTCATGGACTTAGGCCCCACTCAAAAACATGTTTCAGCAAAACAATATTAATACTTACGGAATCCTACATCTTCCTTCCTCAGAGCTGATTAAAAACAATATAGATCAGTGTCCTTTGCTTTGTGTGGGTATAGATCTTTAGGTGAAGTCTGCATTAAAAGAGTTCAAAGTGATAAGTACTACAAAGATATATGTAGGTAGGTAGATGGATAAATAGGTAATAGGCAGACACATATGTATGAGTTAGCTAGTTTAATAAGAAATCCACATTGTTGTGTCCATCTCTCTTCTGGTCTTTACCTCAAGTATTATAAAATATATGACCTCCTCCTTCCTCATTCACCCTCTAATAATAGAGGATTTTAGTCAAATTACTCACACAATCACAGAGGATTTGACCCTATAAGAAAATTTATTTTCAAATTTTACAAATAATCCACTTTAAATCATTACATACACTGTTCACATTTTGTTTCCCAATAAACACAAGACAACATGCCTGTCAGAATTGAGCTGGATATCTGTATAATTTACCAGGTCTGTATTACAGAGGAAGATCTTACTGTATTTGAAATTTTAGGTGCTCTTTCTTTTTTCTTTTTTTCTTTTTCTTATCTTTTGAGACAGAGTCTCACTCTCGCCTAGGCTGGAGTGCAGTGGTGCAATCTTGGCTCACTGCAACCTCCGCCTCCTGGGTTCTAGCAGTTTTCTACCTCAGCCTCCTGAGTAGCTGGGATTACAGGCACTCGCCACCACACCCAGCTAATTTTTGTATTTTTAGTAGACACAGGGTTTCACCATCTTGGCCAGGCTGGTCTTGAACTCCTGACCTCGTGATCCACTCACCTCAGCCTCCCAGGTGCTGACTCTTAAATAGCAAAGATCACTTATAAATTGCAAAATTTCCCATGTATGCTTAGTGGGCAGATGTTTTATGAAGTTTCAATGAACTTTAAGCCACTTTGTTTTCCATAATTTATATTTTTGTAGGTTACATGTTGTAATTATATGAACCATGTCTTTAACAGGATAATAAGAACTGCTCCAATTTACAGAATTCTTAAATTTCAAAGTCAGTTACATTAAGTATAAAAATCTTAATTTAAACCAGTCTTCTTTTTCAAATAGAAAATAATCTAAATGAGCAGATTTTTCCGCTTTATAAAGTTATTCTTCAGGATCATAGGTCTAATAATGGGATACACATAGAACCAAGGTTTGGTTTTTGGGTTTTTTTTGTTTTTTTTTTTTTTTTTTAATGCTGGGACTGAAAGAGACCCTGAAAAGATAATCCAATTCCATTCCTATATTTTACAGATGAGGTAACTGATGACAATCATAAACCAGGCCTTGGCTTCAGATTTGCTAGATTTTTTTTTAACATGCAAAGTATAAATATTTCTATTCTCTCTTAGCTGCTGTTTAATTTCCCCTGTCTACCTACCTGACAGAAACCATTGTTCTTGTGGCTGGCCATAGTAAAGCTGAGGAATTTGCCTTACCTGGTTGAAGTATTGGCAAGCAGACTGTGAGCTCCTTGCCAGTGCTTGTCAGCATGCTTGGCGCACCTGTGCAAGGACTCAGTCAAGTAACTTGTCCATTGTAAAAGTTTAAAGTCTAGAGGTGATTTCCAGACATCCTCATGTTGCCCTATTTTTAAATGGCACACCCCATAAACTTAAATAATCTAATTTCTTCCTTGCTCATTATACTCCCTAAGGGAGTATCCTGAAGCTATTAGATAGCCAGGCCTGTTCCAAACCCTGGACTTTCATCACTGTGAACACCGGTCCAGAGCTTTTGGTATAAATATGTAATCATATGACTGGGACAAAAAAGAGAAACTGGTATATATCAAAATTTTTAAAAAATTAATGAATTATACATCTTAATATAGCCATCTTAGCCATAGCCACAAATAAACACATTTTTTTCTGTTAAAGTACTTGACAGAGTCCTTGCAATTGAATGTCTTTGTTCAACAAAAACTATAGTAAGTGTTTTAAACTTAAAATCTAACTTTATGCAAATAGCTGTTGTCAAAAACTTTTCTTTCCATCAGAAGAGGATCTTTGGTTTGACTTCATATTATGTGATGTTTGTAGGTACCTGGAATGGAAACACAAAAGTAGCCATAAAGACTCTTAAACCAGGCACAATGTCCCCCGAATCATTCCTCGAGGAAGCGCAGATCATGAAGAAGCTGAAGCACGACAAGCTGGTCCAGCTCTATGCAGTGGTGTCTGAGGAACCAATCTATATCGTCACCGAGTATATGAATAAAGGTTGGGCAGCACCTCTCCCGTCTCCAGCTTACAGTGCCTGAAGGGGTTGTTTGGGGGAGAGAAATAGAGGCTTCCTGCTTGCTTTTTTTCCAGTTTCTGCCTGGGTCAAGTATTCCCATCAGGAAGCACCAGTTATATGTTCATGAATGAAAACATTTTTAAAACAGACTAACCTTGAGTTTGCCTCACCCCAAATCCTTGAAAAATGCTGAGTACCTTTTGCATGTTATGTGTATCAGAAATTCAAACTCCTCTCCCTAATTAAAACATTCATTTTTAATATTGGGGTGGTACAGAGGGTTATAATAGTTTGCTGTTATTTTGAACACAGTAGCTTTTGCTACATTTCCTTTTTGCAGGACTAAACAATTAATATCAGACACTGGTCTCTAAGCTAAATTTAGTCTCCATCGTTTCAACATCTTATTTTTTTCTAACACTCTCCTTAAACATCAGATGATGAAATTACACGCTTTCAGAGACACATTTATTCTCACATTCTCTCCCCCACAACCCCTCTTTCTAATCAAACCAGCATTGTTGGGGATAAGGCCAAAGATCATTTTGTTTTGGAAAAATAGATGAAACAAATAAGAAACAGCCTTAAAAGGCAATATATTGTACATCAGAGGATACCAGTGTAATTTTTCTTTTCCATGTACTTTCTTTTAAAATATAATTGGAATTTTTTTTTTGGCAAACTATTTGTCCTTTGTATCCAGGGTTATTTTGTAAATAACTTTGTGATTAAAGCATAAAGTATCACTGATGACCATCATAAGCCTCCAGCTTCTGCAAATGATTATCCCTGCCTTGGTGTTAGTTCTCAGCCTCCTTGGGCTGTACAGTAGTGGCTCTGAAGCTTCCAATGTTTTCTTTCAGATGTCTGATTTAAGGCTTGGCTGGCTATGATCTAATTAAGGGGAACTTTCTGCCCCACCCATATTCTTCAGATTGTCTCTTCTTGATTCAAAATCTGTAAATAAGCTAAGCCAGTGAGTCTCAAACTTTACCTTGTATTATTAGAATCATCTGTAGGGCTTCTTAAAACACAAGTTTCTGGACCCAACCTTCATAGTTTCAGATTTACTCAATCTGGAATAGGACCTGAGAATCTGCATGTCTTACAAGTTCCCTGGTGACGTTCGTTACAGCTGCTTGCCCCAAGACCTCAATTTTGGACCACTCAACTGGCCTATATTTTCCCCACATCAATTCTCTGTGCAGGGGTGGTTGGGGAATGGAATTGAAGAGGTGCAGTTCTTCATAGGTTCCTCTTTATGACCTAAAGTGATATTGATTCCCATTTCTTCTAGTTTTATCAAATATATGTTGTTATCCCTAGAAATGGAATGAATGCTGTTTGTTTTTAAAAGGTAGAACTGTGGCTTCTCCATGCATGTACTTTTTTCTACTCTGCTTTTTTGTATAAACCTTATTTTTCCATGGATGGCATTATTCCATTTGATGACCTTATTACTTTTAATTAAGAAAACCAAATACAGCCCTCCATTGAGAATTATCTTTCAAAGTAAATTGAAATGATTTTATGTTTTGTTCATAGGAAGTCTACTCGATTTCTTAAAAGATGGAGAAGGAAGAGCTCTGAAATTACCAAATCTTGTGGACATGGCAGCACAGGTAGGCCCTGCGGGGTACCTTGATGTGCCGTAGATTTAATGGCATGTAAACACATTGGGTCACGGTGTAACATGTCCTGTTCCCTGGGTTTCCACAGGTGGCTGCAGGAATGGCTTACATCGAGCGCATGAATTATATCCATAGAGATCTGCGATCAGCAAACATTCTGGTGGGGAATGGACTAATATGCAAGATTGCTGACTTCGGATTGGCCCGATTGATCGAAGACAATGAGTACACAGCAAGACAAGGTGGGCACTTGAATGACAATGGCTCGTAATCACAGCCTTGAGAACAGCCTCTTACTGCACCGCCCCTCCTTTCTCCTTACCTTCCCTTCCTTCAGAAAATATTTGAAATGTCATTCTTCAGCCGGGTTTGACCTTGATCTGGCAGGAATTTGACAGCTCTGCAGGTGGGAGACTGTTGTGGGCCCAGTGGAGGGATGAGATGTTGCTTTTTGGTGGGTGCATGAGTGAGTGGGCATTTGCTGCTCCGGTCCTCATGGCTCATGCTGGTCTCCTCACAGCATCCAGGCCTAGGATACTCTGCTTTTGGAGAAAGAAGGCTGGGGAAAGCCAGGGAATCCAGCAAGTTTTAGTTTGTCACTCAGTCTATGGCCCAGCAGAAAGCAGAAGGCACGTTCAATTTAGAGAAATTAATAGATGAGTTGTTTACAAAGGTACAGGCAGGGTTTTAGGAAGCCAACAGGGCATGGTGCAATATCTCGGAGCTTGTAACAGCAACAGAACCAAGACCTCAAAGGCAAAAGGACAGGGGAGTGGGCACAAGAAGTCAGAATAGGCCACTGTGCAGAGAGGGCCTCCTCAGTAGAAAGAGATGGTGAGGATGGATCTGAGGATTCACACCCAACCCCACTCTTTTGCCCACTTCCAGGTCTTCTGCCAGACCCAACCAGAAGTAGAGGTCCCAGGAACTCAGCGATGAGTCCTTATGGGTCCAGAGCAGGGAGAGAGAAAATGGAGAGAGGACTTAGAGAGACTATAGATGGTAACAGCATAGTTACTTGAAAATCTCCTCCACCTTTCATCCTCTCCCCCCATCCCACCCTCTGCAAAATATTTGTAGAAATTAGTCTTTAAGTAAAATATATCCCAACTCAGCCGCCATCCCAGTGGGGCAGCTTTGCAGGTGCTATTAGAGCACCAGATACTACAAAGGAGTTTCTAGGAATATTTTCTTTCTTCCCAGATATTTACAAAGTGGTCACCAAGTAAAAGTGTGGGATTAAGTATGCAGTTTGCAATTGAATAGAGGCTCCTCTGTGAAATATAATGTTTCTAACTGGGGCAAGGGGGAAGTTTCATTGTTGGTATTTTTAACCAAAGCCTAGTCATCCCAAGCAAAGCACAGCAGTGCCTGGAATGTACTACAGGGCGGTGCCTTTTACTGCATTTCATAATGGCCAGCTTTGGAGTTCGTTTCTTTCTCTTTCTCCTTCTCCTTCGCTTGCCCCTGTACCTCCTCCTCTTGATTCTTTCATTTCATGCCAGTTATCCTTTCCCTTCATTTGACTCCAAGAATGGAAGCATTCTTAGCAGTCTCAAGTGATGAGGGAAAATGTTAAACTAAGACCCTGGCTGCTACCGATACTGTCCAAATGCTGAATTACATGTCGGTCAGACAGCTTAGCTATTTGAATTTCCTCAACACGTGGCAGTTTTGTCCTGGAGCCAGATGCCCACACAGCAAGCAGGCCTGTGCGTTACACACACACACACACACACACACACGCACGCACGCACGCACTGTGCTGGGCCAGATGGCGTGCTGTATCTCTAATCAAAGGCACACTGCAGCTTTGATTGGCACTGGCCATCCAGAGAGGAATGTGCATGTGATTTTGAGGCAAGGTGAGCTGAGAGGACCTGAGTGCCAGTGGATCTGAGACTTGCCCTGAATGAGGGAGTTTATCCTGAGGCAAGTCTGTCAGATCCCAGCTCCTGAGACGCGGAAGGAGAGTGGGCGAAGGTTGTGAGACATGAATATTTGATTTAGGAAAGGGCTAGAAAGAGCCGTGCATGCACCCTTCTGTGTGTGAGTCGAGTTTTTCCCCTTTTCCTGGACTTTGGACTCTACAGGGTTTGTGGTTAACGCTCATGAACCATGGGTAAATGAGAAGGTTGGCAGGCCAGGAGCCAGAGGTGGCTGGTAGGGGTGCTGTTAACAGGGCCTGGATGTTGAGTCCATGCCACATTCGCTGGAGTGAGGCTGCTCAGGCTGGCCCTGGGTGATTGGCACCCTCGCTGGTTCCCCTCCCTCAGGCTGCTGCCCTCAGCCTGGCCCTCAGCCGTTCCTCCACCTTAGCCATCCTGATGGCCCTTCTGCTGGCTGCGCAGCTCCGCCATCATGTCCCCGGATGCCGTCAGAGCCCCTTTCAAAAGGCCAGCTTCGTAGCCTTTGTACTGCATTTCCTTAATTTCGAAATCAAGGCTCCCATCCTCCTTTCTTCAAACATTTTTCTTCTTTCCACCCTTTCCCAAACATCTTCAAATCCATGCCAAACACTAGAAAGAGAGAAGTAAGAAGTAAGTGAACTGGAGAACTGAACTGGGAAAAAAAATGATACCGCGAGGAGGGGTGGATGTCCAAGGAGAATAAAAGAAATGCTGTCATGCAGCAGACAGGGAGGAGGGGGCAGAGTCATTTATAAATACCTTCCAAGTGCCAGGCCTGGGGAAATGGGAGGACCGGGCAGGGAAACAACAGGAATAGACTCAGAGGGGTTAAGTAACTTGTACAAAGTCACACAGCCAGTAAAATAGTGGAGCCAGGATTTGAATCCAGATATGGCTGGCCCTGTTGCATCTACCATCCTAGGCTATGCTGACTGCTTTTCATCAAGTCAGTGATAAAAGGAATAGAAAATAAAGATGGAGAGGATGAGTCATACATCCCTTTTCCCCTTTATTTAATGGGACTGTTTTTAAGAAGCACCACCTAATGTGCATGTGTGAGGGAGTTGGAGAGACCTTTCTTTTCCAGCACTGGGACAACCCAGCTGTATATAAAATTCCTCCCAAGGGCCTGCCGTGCCCCGGCCGCTTTACGAGGGAGAGAGGGCCTGGTGTGTGTCTGCTGGTGTACTCTGCAGATGGCATGTGTGCTGCGTGCTGAAGTTTCTGCTGGGAATTAATCAGCTCCTCCAGACAGCTGGTCCGCATGCCTAATAATAGTTGCAAGTCGGGTTTTATGTTACCCACAGGCCACAGCCATGCTGCATCTTGATTATGGGAATGCAGGCAGCATTCAGAAACATGCGCCAAGCACAGATATTTTAGGACCATGAATGGCAATTGTTTTCAAAACAGTTGTGAGTTTCCCATCTCAGGGTGCACTGAAATATCTGTCACTCCTCAGGCAGATGAGGTGGCATTGCATAGGGCACAGGCAGAACTGGAGTGTGGAGCTGGGTTACATAGTCCTTCCCATGCAACTTTCTTCCCACCACCCCAGCCCACCCAGGACTGAGCAGCAGCCCATGTCAGAGAGGAGGTCAAGGCCAGGCCCTGAGCCCATGAGGGTGGCCTTCTGCGGACATCACTCTAGAAGCAACTAGAAATTTGGGGGGAGGGATTGCTTATTCTCTTTTACCTGGACATCTCACTCAGTTATAGCAGATAGTTCTTTTTTTTTTTTTCCATTTATTTATTTTATTGCATTTAAGGTTTTGGGGTACATGTGAAGAACATGCAGAATTGTTGCATAGGAACACACGTGGCAGTGTGATTTGCTGCCTTCCTCCCCATCACCTACATCTGGCATTTCTCCCCTTGCTATCTCTCCCCAGCTTCTCACCCTCCACCCTCCCTCCCCTATTTCCCCCCAACTGACCCCAGTGTGTAGTGCTCCCCTCCCTGTGTCCATGTGTTCTCATTGTTCAACACCCACCTATGAGTGAGAACATGCGGTGTTTGATCTTCTTATAGCAGATAGTTCTTTAGTTATAAACACTTTGCTAAATTCTGCCCAATCAGGATCTCTAAATAATGCCAACATCAGTTACTTGAGTGCCTTGTGTATGAAAAGGACTTTACTAGGAGCTACTGATATAAAGAAGCCTAAGACGGCACAGGATAGTCAGCAAGCCTGACAAGGAACACGTACATGGGGCATTGTTGAAGTCAGGTGGAACCGGCTTTGAAATCCACCTCTAACCTGGCAATCTGGGGCCTTCGGCAAGTTATTTAACTTTTCCATACTTCAGTTTACTTACCTGCAAAATGGAAAAACATTTTATCTGCTATATGCATTTTTCCAAAGATTAAGTGAAACAGTGCATGTAAAGTGCTTAACAGGATGCCCAGCACATGTTGATAAATGTTGCTTGTTACTGTTAGTGTATCTGGTACGACACTAAGTTCTTGGGGAATAAACAAATGAGTGAATGGATTGCAGATATATGGAAAGTCTCAAACACTATTCAGGAAAGGGAGAGAAGAATCAAAGATAATTCCCAAGTCATCAAATGCAGGTAATCGTGAGAATGGTGTTACCAATAATAGAAATGAATGAGTTGGGAAGATCGTACTTTCAGAGAAAGAGGATGCATTTGGGTTGGGATCTGTTGAGCTTAAGGTGATTGTGGTGTCCTCCAAGCCCAGAGAGATGAGTCGGGGTGCCCACACTGGGTCTCACTGCCACAGCTGGGTCCTCAGCCTTCCAGCCCTCCCCTGAGGTCTGGTCACAGCTGCCTCCCTACCCCAGCACTGCCCCTTCCTCCCAGAATCATGCCAGAGCTCAACACAGGCACCACAAGCATCTGCATCCATCTTCTTGTCCGCACATGTCCACACCACACCTGTCTCCTGTGACCCCCGACACAGGCAGATGTCAAAATCCTTGCTTCCAGAAACTCACAGCCCCTCCCACCATCACTTCCTTCAGAGACACACAAGCAGATGAGAAGCAGTAGGAAGATTCTCTGCAGACTCTGGTTTTTTCTTCATGAGCTTTCAGGCTGTTCAGTGCCAACTAATGTTGGTTTAAACCTAACAAGTTCAGATAGACATGGCTGTGTGTAAGAATAACTTCCTTTTGTGGATACATGTTTATTCTTTATTGATCTATAGACACATGTACAGTAAAATGAACAAATCCGAAGTGTGCAGCCTAGTGAATTTTTATTTACATATATGCCCCTGAATCCACCCGAAGATAAAGATACAGAATACTTCCAGCACTCCAAAAGACCCCTTATTCCCACTCCCAGTCAGTAACCACCCCACAA